GAGAAAGGAACAACTCAAAGGCTGAAGTGTTCTGGGGTTTGAGTTGTCTTCTCTGTGAACACAGCTTATTTTACAGTAGAAATTTACAAGGAAAAACTAAGAATTCATCACAGCACTGGCTAATTAGGTTTTGATTTTTTTTAATTTCAATGGAAATGCAAACAGACAAAAGCGACTGTTATTAGATCTTCTGAATCCTCGAGACATGCTGCACCGAGCACAGAGCAAAGCTGCATGCAAACCCGCTTTTCTGCTGGGAGAAACCAGTCACATGTCATTAAAAGTTTTCTGAACTCTGCCATCCAAAGCAACTTCACTTTAAAGGAGAAAGACCAAGTGATTTTCTAAACATGTTCCCTCTTGAGAAGCTTGGAAAGGAGGAACTTGCAGGTGAACTACAGAGATCCCCTTAAACAAATAGTGACATTTTATTAGGTGTTCCCTCACTGGAAAATCACTGCTTTAAAGGTCCTGTGCCTTCAGAAGTTAAAGTCGCTCAGCTATGATGTTCGTGATAATGTTTGCTATGACAGATAAACCCACTTGGCTTTTCCGTGTTTAAGCCATTTTACAGAATCATAAAGCCACCGTATCTATTGTGAAAACATTGAGGAAATGCTCAGGTGAAGCCCTGACTCCACTGAAACAAACGCCAGTTGTTTAAGACAGCAAGGTTTCACTTTTTAAATGCTCCCATACTACAGCACAGACCTTTAAACTATTGTCTGTTGTCCCACGGAGATCTGCAAAAGCTCAAGCAGACACAATTCCAGGTGGACACACTTCGTGTCCTTTTTTCCTTTCACTCTAAGGAGTCCGAAGCACAGAAGTAGACACAGCGCAGCTGTACTTACTTTCAGACGTCTGACTAACCGCAACTGCCAGAACAGCCAGAACAGTGACCAAATTCACATCCATTCCTCCTGGGAGCAGCGGGAGCAGAGCCACAGCGCAGACGGCAAAGCTGCAGGAACTGGTGCCTGACCCTACCTCCTGGCTGCTGGGGATGAATGTGACTCAAAGCCCCACCCTGAGCAGCAGCTCGACGTCGGCTCTGTCCCGTGTGGCACTGTGGACTTCAGCAGCGCTCCTCCGCTCACCTCTGGGTGCACGGTGACATGATTTGCCCAGCGGGACAACAGGGTGTTTTTCACACAGTACCCCCAGGTCGTGCTGCCACATGGCCGGGTCCTCCCAGCCCTCCTCACCGATGAGGCTCTTCAACAATAGAAATGCCAAGGGTACAAATACTCCAGAAACAAGTATCTGCAGGACTAAGGCAGAAGAATAGAACCCTTCTCCTATTAGGAATGGCATCCAAGAAAGCTGAACATGCAGTGTCATGGGCCAGACCTCCCGTAGTGTGAACAGGCCCTAGCCTTGCACTAGGTTTGCATTTGACCTATGCATTTTCAGTCTGTGTGAGCAAGGGCCATGTTATTTAGCACATCTTACTCCTGTGATGCAGCAGCCCTGTTGTTCATGAAGAAGACTATGCAAGTTTTTGGTGAAAGGCAGCTGGAGAGAAACTGCGGCTAGCATATCTCCCTACATTTGCTTCCTGATTCCTGTTTCTGCAGCCCATTTCAATAGTTTCCTGTGTTATCAGAGGAATACTCAATCTGAACAAATGTAGCTTTCAGTGGGGGAAAAAATAAAGGATGCCTATTTGGAGGCTGATGATTTCTGTGAGTGACACTGGAAAAGTCCTTTTCTGACACACACAGGTGATAGGGAAAGCTGTCTGTGGAGAACATAACTCCTCAAATTCCCTGCTACGCTTGACGTAAGTCACTGGTTCAAATCTCCTAACCCCCCAAAATATTACTGTGCAGTCTCAGTCTGAATTGAATGCTGAGGCTATCTGGGTAACAAGCAGTTGCCATATCTGCCACTTCAGTGCTGGCTGTCTGCTTTGACGTCTTCCAGGGCTGATCTGGAATAATCAGCCCAGAAAGTCACTGAACTGTTGAACCAAGCTCATCCTTGCTCTGGCTCACTACAAGCCATTCTCACCATTCCTAAATTTCCAGAATACAAGACAGAAGAAATTGCTAGCCTCAGGGACTTTAATCCACGCTTACGCTATCTCAAGAGCAGTTTTGCAATCCATCTAATAATAAATTAATATAGTGCAATCACATTTTATGGCTATCACAGTTTTACTTCATAGCTCTTGGTTTCTGCTTGACACTGTTATCTACCAGGATAAGAGAATGGGGCAAATGCAGAGTACTACACTTTTAAATGAAAGTCTACTGTTAAGGAGAGAACGATGGTAGATAATGATGCATGCTGTGAAGTATCATTTCAGGGAAGTCATTTATGTTGAAATGAACAAGGTGATTCATTGTCACCATTTAATCACAGTGAACAAATCTGCGTTACAAAAGCTAAACCATCACGGACAAAGCTAAGACAGCTCACAACACCTTTATTAACACACACTTAGATAAGCACAAGACTATCAGCAGCATGAATATCCTTCAAAGTAGCATGAAGAGGAACAAGCTAGATTAAAAGAAATAGTGAGACAGGTGTTATTGAAGTAACATGTTACGGAAACAGCTTCAGTCAGTATTAGACTTTATACGCCAGTGCCTACTTGGCACTGCAAAATGGGTTGTTTTGTGTCCTTGGAGATAATTAACTAGTCTTTTCTGACAGATGCTGCACAGGGGATCTTCACATACAGTTTTAAAGGCCTGACACAGACTACGAAAGTCTCACGAAGGTAACAGCGTGGAGAGCTGCAGCAGTGATGGGGAGGGGGGAAGAACCAAAGCATTCCGTGGCTTTTAAGACTGGATCCTGCAGTGACAAGTCTGAAGTGTTTCCAGGTGGTTGCTCAGACACACACACATACGCTGTGTTCTCAAAAACGCAGAGTAAATACAGATATCTGCAGGTATTCATTTCTCTGCTGCTGGCAACAAACTACAGCATTCTGAATAAAACTTACTTAAATAAACTCAGTCACACTCATCGGTTTGCACTGGAGCTTTACATCTTTATGTTCCCTGAGTTCATGGTGCCATTTATAGGTCCAAAATAAAGTAAATGTCTAATTACTTCAATGGGAAAGTGCAGCAAGAAAACTATGATTATGTCAGACATGGAACATGCTTTCCACTTTATGAAGGCTACGTAAGGTGTCAACAATTTAAAATGTTGAACCTATTAGAACTGAACAAAATGTAAAATGAGGAAACAATGCTGCTTCGTGAGATGCAGAAATTAAGAATAAAGCCAGGGAACAATGGTGAGTACTGTGCTGTGGCTCCATGTGCATGTGCAGGCAGCCATCCAGCTCACAAAGGAAGAACAAGTTAGGGAGACATTCTTTTCCAAGAACTCCACTGGCATAGTTGACAAGTACATGTAAAGGAAACTGAAGAGTTTTATTGACATATTGATTTGGATTGCTTTCAAAGCTCAAACAGAAACCTGCAGGCAGAAAGTGTTGCAAATGAACAGGCAGTCATTCTTCCACCTGAGAAACAAAGCTAATCCTTGTTTTAATCCTTTTTGAAGTTCTAACTTTTATTTGTGAATGTAGGGCTGCGGGAAAGGCTAAATCTGACAGCTATTTCCATCTGAGCCTTTAATTTTTGAGTAGAGGTTAATGACTGTAACTTCTTCTATGTTAATATGCATTGTAATATAATGCCTCCAGTTATGTATACTTTTCTCCAGTTACTCAAGCAGAAGCAAGAGTAAACTGTCCTTCTTTAACCCACTCCTTGCCTCTGGACAATCTTCTTTTGCGACAGGAATGCTGATTATTGAAGAGGACTAAGCCCTCCAACTCAGTTTGTTAAAGTAGGGTAATTCACATTAAAGCAACTTTGGATCATTGCTGTCTTCAGCAAGACTTAATTTGACAAAGGCTTCTGATGTACTGACAGATTCAACAGGCTTATTTGTTACTTTGGTACTTCCTATTACTCTACAAATGATCATGATAAACAATTCACAATAATAATTTTTTTTCTTTTCTTAGACTGGCTTAAATCATGAATGGACAGAGAAGATAATTTACAACTACACTTGGGACTTGCCTATGGCTTCTACGAATATATCAGTGGCAAAAGGAAGATCAGGGAAAATGTGGGGCCACTGCTGAATCAGATGGGTGTCCTGGTAACAGAAGATACAGAGAAGGAGGAATTACAGAATGCCTCCCATGCATCAGTCTTTACTGCTAAGGATGGCCCTTGGGAGTCCCAGAGCTCGGAGGTAAGAGAAGGCCAGAAAAGGGAAGACTTCCCTGTGGTTGTAAAGGGTTGGGTTAGGGATAGGCTGGACAGACTGAACACCCATAAATCCATGGGCCCTGATGGGATGCACCCACGGGTGCTGGGGGAGCTGGCACATGTTGCTGCTCCGCTGCTTTCCATCATCTTTGAAAAATCATGGGGAACGGGAGAGGTGCCCGATGGCTGCAGGAACAGCAAGGTCACTCCCATCTACCAAGAGGGCAAGAACGGTCAACGAGGGGAGAGCAGACTTTACAATTCTCTCTCTTTAAAACTCTCATTCATCCTTCTGCACACCAGAAATTTATCTGTGGGTAGTTTCTTTTGGGAGAACAAAAAAATGAGTTCAGAAGAAAAGTTAATTTGAGCTGTGAACAGTTTAAATGGTTAATGCACTTGGTAAGATGCAAGCCAGCCAGATTCAGTCCTCTGCCCAAGGAGGGCACAGATACATGCACTCCTCAGGTAAGCTCTCCTGACAGCCAGCTCGGGCCTCAGGGTGGGTATATTTTACATTCAGCTCTGCATCTTATCGATACATAAAACAGAGAAGAAACTTGAGGAGGGACTGAAATGCCCATTTGCCTCCCATCAGGTGCCCACTCAGAGCATGGACTTCCCATGCCCTGACCATTAAATTATGACAGAATTGGAAGAGTGCAGTCTTCTGTCCCAAAGAATTGGTTTGGGGCTTTACACACCAAGAAGACACAGGTGCCAGCTCTGCTGCACTGCCAGGACTGCGGAGAAACACCCAGTATCTTCTACTGGCTGTTTCTGTAAAATTTTCACTGCAAGTGTTACGAGTTCCATCTGAAGCAGCTGACTCCATACTCACACACCCCGTTGTTCCCTCGGCAATCCCCCCAAGAGCGAGGCATTTTACCTGGAGGTGCTTTTACTAGATTTTAGCTCTTACTGTGGTAACAGCTATCATCAGCAATGGAAACCACTCAGAAAGCCCTTACCGCTAGCACACAGCAAAAGGCATTGTTCCTCAGAGACAGCACTTTGGAGCCAAACCACAGGAGGAGGAGAGGATGCTGTGGCTCAGATGCTGTAACAGAGATGAGAAGCTGGCTGGCTGACATTTAGGAGTCTACATATTATTATGCGGCTTTAGAAAAAGGACCTAATTCATTGAGGAAGCAAGCAAAGTGAGTCTTCCCTTTCCAATCTCTGCTTTTAAAAAATCAATCATAATTTAGAGGAGGGCCAAAAGTGGTTTGCTGAGAGGATCTGCAGCTGCTGAAAAGAAAGAATGGCAGATGTTTTCCATGGTCCGATGGCTTAGGAGGTAAAAACTGATGCTGAGATACACAAGCAGGAAATAAGGACATTGAGATCTGTATTTCTTAGTAGAACAAAAACCAGTAACTCTGATGTTTCCTTATTATTTGAAAAAATAAAAGTATTTGCTTGACTACATAGAACCATAGAATAGTTAGGGTTGGA